GTTCCAGCTCCTGCCAACCTAGCAGTTCGAAAGCAAGAAATTGCAAGTAGATAAATAGGTACCACTTCAGTGGGAAGGTAACAGCGTTCCGTGCGCCTTGGCGTTTAGTCATACCGGCCACATGACCATGGAAATGTCTTCGGACAGCGCTGGCTCTTCGGCTTTGAAACGGAGATGAGCACCGCAACCCTAGAGTCGGACTCGACTGGCTTTCGAGCAAGGGAACCTTTACCTTTACCTTTAAGGTTTTCATGGTCTTCACTTGGTTAAAAAACCTACAGAATGCTGAAACAAAACACACACCAAAAATGATATAAAAGCCATCCTGTTTCACACAGTGACCAACCAGTTACTTTGGAGGGCCAACAGCAGGGCATAGAGGCTGAGGTCTTCCCCTGAGGTTGCCTCCTGGCTCTGGGATTCAGAGGCTTAGTGCCTACGAATGTGGAGGTGCCCCACCGTCACCATGGCTAAACGGTGATGAACCTCTCCTCCGTGAATCTGTCTAACCCCCGTCTAAAGCTGTGTATGCCTGCGGTCATCACTACACCCCTCTGGCAGCAAATTCCATGTTTTAATCACTCGCTGAGTAAAGAAGTATCTCCTTCTGTCCATACTGAATCGACTCCCAGTTAACTTCACTGAATGCTTCTAAGTTCTAGTATTCTGAGGAACTACTACTTCTTAGGAAATTTTAAAATCCACATGGTCTTAACTAAAAAATTTTATCTGTATCAACTGTCTGGCTGCATTTTTGCTTGTTAACTAAATATAACATTTTAAGGTATTTGCTGATCATTGATCGTAATAAATCAAATTGATTGATTGATTGATTGAGGGAGGGAGGGAGAAAAAGTCCTCTTTGTCAACTCTCTCCACCAGGAGGAGGAAGAGGAGGAGGAGGAGGATTTTAAACCCCGCTTCTCTCTACCCAAAGGAGTCTCAAAGTGGCTGACAATCACCTTCCCTTCCTCTCCCAACAACAGGCACCTTGTGAGGTAAGTGGGGCTGAGAGATTTGAAAGAAACTGTGACTGGCCCAAGGTCACCCAGCTGGCTGCATGTGGAGGAGTGGGGAATCAAACCTGGCCCTCCAGATTAGAGTCCACTGCTCTGAATCACTACACCACGCTGGCTCGCACACCCATCAGCCTTTCCTCATAGGGAAGGTGTTCCAGCCCCTTAATCGACTTGGCTCCCCCTCTGCTCTGGCCTGGAACGCTATCCACGGTTACGAGGCCAGCTTCGTGTTCTCCTTTCTGAGGAGAAAATGTACAGGGTATTTTGCTTCCAGGTCTTTCCTAGTAATCAAGCTGAGTTAAACTACACATGCACCGAATTTCAGCTTTCTGTCTCTGGCGGAAACGCCTTAAGCCCTGTCAGCCAGATCTCCTTTAGATGATCCACTATAGACTAAAATAAAATGGAAAGAAATTCCTGTTAATTAGGACAAGTGATTATTGTCAGGAGCCTCTGAGAAAGCTAGGCTAGAACAACTGAAATGATTTATTCGTTCTTTTAAAGGGAAAGGGACTGTTCCGCGTTTGAAAGTACGGCGTTAGTTCTGCAAGTCAAGATGTTCAATGACACACATGTTCCTAAATTAAATAAAGCCGGTAAGAACTGTGGGTGGCGGCCTCTCTCCTACGAGTTGCACACAGCGCGCCTGTTCCAAAGAACAAAAGGCATGCTCTTTTACTGCCTCCACGAGGAAAATCAGATGCACTGTCACGGAGGGACTCTGAATGGTTTCCTGGCAAGTTAAAATACTGCTTGGTGAAGTAGACCTCTCTTCTATGAAATCTGTCTGATACCCTTTTAAACCTGTCTGTGCCTGTGGCCACACTACACCCTCTGGCAGTGAATCCCACATTTTAGCCACTTCCTGCATAAAGAACTGTTTCCTTTTGTTCATCCTCAGAAACTCACCCTTACAAGTTTTAAAAAATCCAGATGCTAAACAGAAAAAATGTATTTTGTTTTCAAATCAGGCAATTACCATCCCTGACATTGCATATTTACAACCACCGCCTCAGTGGGAAAGAGGGACAGTCCCAAACAAAGTCATGACGAGGAATTTATAAGAACACAAGAAGAGCCCTGTTGGATCAGACAAACGCTCCATCTAGCCCAGCATCCTGTCTCACAAAGTGGCCAACCAGTTCCTCTGGAAGGCCAACAATAGGGCAGAGAGACTAAGGCCTCCGTAAGAACATCAGAAGAGCCCTGCTGGATCAGACCAGTGGTCCGTCTAGCTCAGCATCCTGCATCACACAGTGGCCAGCCAGTTCCTCTGGAGGGCCAACAACAGGGCATAGAGGCCGAGGCCTTCATAAGAACATAAGAAGAGCCCTGCTGGATCAAAGCAGTGGTCCATCTAGTCCAGCATCCCATCTCACACAGTGGCCAACCAGTTCCTCTGGAAGGCCA